AAAACCTGCAGTTCTTCCTGTTGGGCATAGGCGTGCGCGGAAGAGGGGCAGGAGGATGCCCTAGTCGCATAAGAATGGGGGGGGGGGGGGGCGCAATGTCAGCTCCACACACATTGGCGTAATAGCGAGAGGGACACTGTGACAGACCTTCGCCCTCTCCCCTTTCCTCTGAAGGGGAACTCTGCGCTCGTCTGTGCCACTGGGCATGCCTCGGGAGTGGACATGCCCTCTGTTTCGAATAGCTTATGCGTCCTCTGTAACCCAAATGAAGTCGAATAAGTTGTCGTATTCACATACACAAACCTTAACGTACCGGTAAATATACAGGGCCGTCCCCAATATTCACCGACTGTGCCATCCTTTTCCCCTATAGCGTTGAGCTCCGTATACACTGACTCTAATCATCTAACTCGTACGCCTCACAGACAAAACTATTATTCGACTGTTGCTCTAAATACACAGGAAGTAAAAAAAATACAGGTAGTGATTTTGGCAAATATTTTGGTTTTAGCTTAGCCCTGCTTTAATTGAAATGCAGCAACACTGAGATTTCAGGACGTTCAATCTACATTGATTGATTTGTGGGGTTTAACGTCCCAAAACCACCATTTGATTATGAGAGACACCGTAGTGGAGGGCTCCGGAAATTTTGACCACCTGGGGTTCTTTAACGTGCACCCAAATCTGAGTACACGGGCCTACAACATTTCCGCCTCCATCGGAAATGCAGCCGTCGCAGCCGGGAATCGAACCCGCGACCTGCGGGTCAGCAGCCGAGTACCTTAGCCACTAGACCACCGCGGCGGGGCGACGTTCAATCTACATGGTGCAACGTCGGAGCCTTAATTGCCTTACGATCACTAAACAGTAGAGTCGAAAATGAGTTGAGTACATAATTTATCATGCATATTATGCTGAAATAAGTACGTAGGAATCATTTGAATGGAAGAAGAAGAAGAAGAAGAAGAAGAAGAAGAAGAAGAAGAAGAAGAAGAAGAAGAAGAAGAAGAAGAAGAAGAAGAAGAAGAAGAAGAGAAGAAGAAGAAGAAGAAGAAGAAGAAGAAGAAGAAGAAGAAGAAGAAGAAGAAGAAGAAGAACTTTATTAATAAGGGTTTTGGGTAACGCTTTGGTGGGGCCCCAAGTCCAGGGCTCCACTGGCTCCTGCCGGCTGCCTGACGTGACCCAGAAAAGGAAGCATCCGAATAAAGCTTTTTTGTATAGGTGACACTGGTTATTATCAGTATGACCATTAAGTGTAAATACCTTTGTTCGGCTGGTATATGGTAGGCAATTGCCTGATAACATATAGGTAAACTCAAAGCAATCACAGACAAATAGTCTTGTTATTGAGAGTTGGAACAATATTCTCGTTCACCCTTTCCCTTTGTGCAGGGTAGGAAACCGCGTGCTAAAATTCTGCTTGACCTCCCTGCCTTCTCTAAATTTATTCTCTCTCTCTCTTGTTTATCTATTATCCTCCGTCTAAGAGACTACAACTGCTGATTCCTCAATGCCTCTCACTCCCCTCTAATTCTTCCCCTACCCTTTTTCCCCTTCTACGTCCCAGTGTCGCGGTTGTGGTGTTTTCGCATGAAAGACAAGAACTGCGTCACCTAGTCTCTCTTTTCACCCTCTTTCATTTCAAGATACCTTTCCCTCCTCCGACGTTGTAGGTCAAGGCGTGAAGACTGAGAACATTGGCTCATGTGTTATCAGTTGCCAATTGCTGAGGAAACGTTGAGCTGCATCCCAATATTCTGCGGTTCTCTCTAATTGCGTTGGTATCATCTAGATTTTTGAGCATGTCTAACGGAAAGATATACCTTGCATATTCTGCATAATCACTGGTACAGATTTCTGTATGTCTGTACTTACGCTGGTTGTCTATAAAAGACACGGGTTTGATTCCCGGCCATGACGCACTTTCAACGTTGGTGAAACGAAAAAAAGAAAGATAAAGAAAGACACGCATGAACTAATATTTAGGTGCTCGTGAAATAAAATCAGCTGCTCAAAAATAAATGGAAACCCTGAGTACAGCCTGGCTCATAATCAGCGTCATGGTTTTGGCGCGTAGAAACAGTATTTTATTGTATACCTGGGAACGTTGCCAAAAGACGACATTGGAACACTTAGGAGCTAATCTTCTGAAGAGAAAGATAGTTTAATGCTTCTTACTTATCTTGCTTTGCTCCATCGCTTTACTAACCACACCAACTGACGCTGTAGGTTAAGTAGGCGACATAGCTTTTCTTTTTGACTATTGCGTGCGCTCTCTGAATGTTGTCTGTATACCTAGTATAACAATTATCGTGCAATGACATCGCTAACAGCAGGAATCTGCCAATGCACTTCAGGAATAAAGAAACGAAAAAGAAGAAACATTTGATCAGAGCGAATCCCATGCTACAAAAATAATATGAACCTAAGTGAAGCGCAGTGCTCTGTCTGATCAAATATATGGGGCAGCCGCTATCATTACAGCTCTTCAGATATGAGAACACGTGCTCGAAGTGCGCGAAGGAGACGTAAGACGAATTGTTTCATTGAGACGTGCTTCGATAAGTGTATCAACGCAATGGCCTCTCGTTTCGATATCGGCGAGCCCCACCCTAATGGTGCGATATCTCCAAGGCTTTTGCAGTGCTGCGTGAAGAAACAACGCGTACGTGATTTCGGTCGATCGAAAAAATTCGTATACGCCATTTTGGAAAATTCACAAAAGCTAGAAGTGTCAGGCTCAAAAAAGCGTTGTACGAGGCTGCCCAGAACTACGTCCAGCCGGAAATATCAAAGTTGCGTGATTCTGTTTCTAGACGTTGTCTACTCTATACTGCAGGCCAACATAACATCAACGCATGTGCGCATTGATATGTGACCTTCATTCTTGCGTTTTATTTTGTTGACATTGCTCCACCGCGGTGGTCTAGTGGCTATACGATACTCGTCTGATGACCCGCGCAGGTCGCGGGATCAAATCACGGCTGCGGTGGCTGCATATTCGATGGAGGCAAAAATGCTGTAGGCCCGTGTGCTCAAATTTGGGTACACGTTGCAGAACCCCAGGCGGTCGAAATTTCCAAAGCCCTCCACTACGGCGTCTCTCACAATCATAAAGGTGGTTTGGAGACGTTAAACCACATATATCAATCAATCAGCGGGAATATTAAACAAGCGCAGTTCGTGCATCGCATCAGGCTCTTGAAATTTGCGCACAGAAGTCCTGTACGTGGCTCTATTTTTCAAGCTCCAGACTGCGCCGAACCGCGCAAGGTGAAACCGACTGAACGCGCGTATAGTAAATGCGCGTGCGTTTGAAGACGTAGATCTCTTCGAGGCGCCAGCTGCAGCCGGCTGTGCTAAAATGCTTCTGTATGTCAAAGAAGCAGCTGCAGCTGCTGCGCATGGCGGCAGTCGAGCGAGTTTTTGTTGCGTATACACGCGCCTGAATCGGCAAATAGTTTCGCCTCACGATACCCGTAGCCACAGCGAGTGATAATGCATATATAGCGTAAAAATTCGTATGACGGCAGTGTCAGCATGCGAATTCGTATGCTAACATAAGCAAGAGCAGGTTAAATTAGTCGCAGAGCTGCTAATTTCAACGAACGGTTTCCCCAGCTTCACAAAGGGCAAAGGTGAATGTCTTGGGCTTGTTGGGAAGCCATGACAAAGACATATGGCGCGGGGACATCAAGGGCAAAAAAAAAAAGAAGCGTGTCGTCCTATTTTTCGTCCTTGTGTCCTCGCGCTGCAACTATACTTCGTAAAAGAACGGAATCAGTTTTTTTTTTGGAAATAATCCCTACAGTGAGAACGTGCGTCTGTCTAGTATTTTCAACAGGGATCGCCTTTAAATAGTTTGCATCTGAGCTAGTTGATGATCTTCATTGTCGAATGGTTGCAGCTAAATTTAAACAGACGCACAAAGGAAAGAAAACATTAGGGCTGTGCTGACACTATCAACTGACGTTTATTGAACTGGCATTTATTGATAACAACTGGAAATATTATCGTACGTACGTTTAAAGTTAGCTGTAACCATTCGACATGCAGGATTGCCTGTAGAAGGATTCAAAGCTGTGCCAGTTGGTGACAGTACTTGAACATATTTGAACTCAGTGCACGACTACGCGGACAAAAGAGGTTTGTCGCTTCTTCTCTTGTGTATACGCGTAGTCCAGCGCTGAGCTGAAATAAGTTCAAGGATTGCCTGTTCCGCTTTGTATGATGAATATAGGGCTGTGCGAATGGAACTGCCGCATATTCTCTCTCATTACGTGTACTGATCGAAACCGGACTGTGCGATACTTACTAAGTGACGACTAATGTTGGATGAACGTTGCAATGTGTCCATATCGTGACACGCCTTGACCACCCCCACTCTTGTTGAAGAAACATTGTGTTGATTCAGTAATAATAATGTGATCGAGTTGTATACCGATTAAAGGAATACCGACACCATTTCCGGAGGTGTGTTTACATTGCCATAAAAATTTCCTGTGTACACATACAGCTCTGAGCAAGCGTGAGGATCAAGAAATGCTCGCAAGATACTGCATTTTTATAGAATAGTCAATTTTCCCGTGGCGCACGTACCAACGTCGACATTAGCTTGATGTAACGGTACAGTATGAATTCTGGTGACTTCACGCAGCTGTCTGGCCAGTTGTGATGACGTCGGGCACCAACAAAAAATTTCAAAAAGGTTGCTTGTGTGTAACCAGCGAAGCACAGTGCAGATCAGCTGTGAAAACGTCACGATATCTTGCCCGATTGCATGACGATTCGATCATGCCATATTGTGACGTCAGGGCACAGTAGTAACCAAAACTAGCTTTCCAAACAAACTATAAGTACTCTTCCAGGGTGCAGTCATGCTTAGCAGGGAACGCTCCTGAGGCTTGGTCATTCATTTGACGCAAAAAAAACAACAAACAACTGATACCTTTCGTGTCAGTACACGTTTACATTCTTTTTGTCTTGCTTCTTCTGCGCAGATGTTCGGCGGTGCATCTTTCGCGCACTTCCTGTTCACCGACCAGAAAGACGTGTTCGCGGTGACCTTCTGCTGGGGCATTGGCGTCATGCTCGGCATCCAGACCGGCGCTGGAGTCTCTGGTTAGTAGGCGTATACTTGGCTTGGTGCGGTGTTTCGGTTTCAGCGTTTGGAAACCTAATGGTAACCATTTACGTGTTGATAGGGTCACGTATTAACCGCCATGTAAAGCTCGCCGATGCATTCAGTGTACAGTAGCGGTACATAGTTTCAGCTCCTACAGAAAGCAGGTGATTGAAAGAAGGCACCAGGCAGAAGACGTGGCAATAGACTCTTCCTCAAAGCAGAAAAAAAAGAGAGATACCAACATTTTCCTTCTAGAAAAAAAGGCTTCTTTTTTCTTTTTCTTTTTTTGCTTCATAAGTGACCTAATAGAGAAAGTCGGGCTAGTTGGTGGTTCATGCTTGGGATGTAAAAACAGCGCAAAAATATAAACAAGGACAGAGGACAAATCGGCGCGGTGTCGTCTCTTCCTCAGTCCTTGTCTATATTTTTTGCGCTGTTTTTACATCCCAAGCTTCATAAGTGAATTACGCCCGCCGTATATGGCTAGACGCAGTTCTTAATATTTGTAGCTGTCACCGTAGACGGCCACATAAACAGCTAAAGAACTTACACTCAACGTTATTAAATGCGGTGTAAGAAAACGTAAGCCACTTGTCCTTTACTGGTACACCACGGCCGTTGCGGGTGGTATCGTAGCCGCGATATCAGCAGGGAAGCACCATAGCGACTCAGATGTGTATACCGGTACATACCGCGACGGGTCAAGTACATCGCAGAATAAATTACAAGAACGCGGGGAAATGTTGTACAAGAAATAATGTAAGTAATGCAGTCTGCATACGCCGGTTGCTATTAGTTCACAAGTCTGCCGCGGTGGTGCAGTGGTAACTGCGATCTGCCGACGTGTCTGCTGCTCGTCCCGGGAGGGTGCAATCCCGGCTGCGGCGGCTAAATTTCCGATGGAGGCGGAAATGTTGTAGGCCCGTGTGGTCAGATTTGGGTGCACGTTAAAGAACCCCAGGTGGTCGAAATTTCCGAAGCCCTCCACTACGGCGTCTCTCATAATCATATGATGGTTTTGGGACGTTAAGCTCCTCATATCAATCAATGAACAAACGTGTTTGGTATAAGTTAACGTTCGTCGTGCGCTTTATTAAATTGCAACGCGTAAACAGGCTGAAGCTGGTTGCCAGTGCGTGTATATATGGAATAGGCTTGCGAGAGATATATCGCGAAAGTGCGAGTCATAAAAATCTCGAATGATAAGGCCTATACTATAGTATACATTCGCGTATCGCGCGCACACTGGCGATGAGGCAAAGATCAGACAGCAGTGCAACAAAGGGGCAACGGCCAACAAACAGTCACTTTCATCGAGCTAACTGAATGTATAAAAATGCGTAACGTGGGTGCTTAAGTGCGTTAAAAGTGCACTATCATATGATCATTTCTTTTTTTCGACTTCATACAATGTTTTTTTTTGTATTACAACAAAAATTTGATAATTATTGTTGCGCTGCTTCAAGTCCACTGGAAAGACTGAAGAATTGGCAGAGCTAAACGGCCAGCTGCCGGCATATCGACAGGAGTTCTACGCACTAAACTGAGGAATGTTTTTCTGACAATGACGCGTAATGCACTGCAGCGACACTTCCCGTACAACATGCGTTGGGTGGTGCGGCAGCCCCAAAACTCAGCATGATTGTGATACCGCCATTTAAGGCATGGGACCACCGCATGTACCCGTTGCAGCCACATCTCCCCACCCACACACAAAGTGGTTCTAAGAGGAGAAAAGAAGAGAAAAGTGAGCCCCGTAACTGTCTGCTTCAGCGAGCGACACCTCAACAGTAGCTCACATGGGATGGGGGTGAGGAGGCATTAAAAGGCTAGGAATAAAGGTGTAGAGAGAGAGAAAAAGGCATGATGTGGTAAGCCAGAGAGCGACGACATAGCGAGTGGATAGGAGGGATAGGAAAGATGGAAACACGGTCACAGGCGTCCGAGGACGGGGCACCACTTGCGAGAGCTCTTGTCGGCGTCAGGAGGTGGCGCAGATCAAGTTCAATCGGTCAGAGCTACGCTTTCGTCGGAGGTCGGTGTCAGGAGGTGACGTAGGGCGAGCCCAGCCCGCTTATCTAAACAGGACCGCGATCAAAGCAGTGCTCGATGTTAGGCTATAGACGTCTTCTTCGGCTTCTCCTGGAATCGGTCGGTCGTCCGTTCCCCCGAAGTCGCCTGGCGTCCACGCGACGCCGAGGCTGCTGCTCTCGAAGTTCTCTCCTTTCCTCTTGGCACCGTTGTTGGAGGCGAAGGGCGCGGCACAGCGCAGCGCGCATAGGGCAACGACGCTTTCGGTTTGGCCGGCGTCATTGCCGTCGCCTCGGGCGCTCCTCTCTTGTCGTCCGCGCCACTCCTTCATCGCTTGCGCCTTGCGTACGCTTGAGCACCGGCTGCGAATACTTAACCCCTGCGGCTCCGCCGTCTCCCCTGACGCTTTTGGTGTCGCGGAGACCCTCTTTCGAATTCCGAGCTTTAAAGAAATGTGATCAGCGTGATATCAAAAACCAATGACAGACGAAGGGAGAGAGCTGGCACTGAACGCCTAATTACATCTCACGAGAAAGAAAATATAAGCATAAGAAAAAAAGTGGCACACTCGGGTATTTAGCGCAAGGTATAACGCCACAGAGGAACGTTCTCGGGCGTATGTGAAAGCTGACATTCCATTTTTCTACCTCTGACTTTTATTTCTCGTTTCTTCTTCCTTGTGTCTTACTTTACGTATGACGGTGAGGTACTATCAGCAGCGCCATGGAGTCCCCCAGACTTCTTTTACGTCAGCAGAAATTTCTTCTTTTTTTTTTGCACACGTGATCACAAAATACCACCGGGGCTTTTCCCGTTCTAGGTTTACACGATGGTTCAACGAAAACGTACGCGTCGGTCTTGCTGAATTTTTGCGATGCTCGCTGTATTTATTCGCTATAGCCACCTTAGTGTGAACTAAACGACAAACATACGTCAGGGACGGTGATGTGAGCTGGAGATGACGATAGCGTTTCTGACTGTCAATACTGCGTAGCTGTGTGGCTAGGCACTGAGAATAGAAGGCCGGCCAGCACTATAGAACTTACACCTGTATCACAAAAACAACGTGTCTGTTGTAAATGAGATCGGCGTAATCCCACAAGGTAATAGAAAACTTAAGACAGAATTTACTTAGGATAATTTATTGATGTAGCGACAGCCCAAGCACGATGTTGGTACCGGTTTCGATCCCCAGATCATGACGAACTTTTCTTCAGCTAAAGACTTTCCTATCAGAGAAATCCGCATGAACTTCATTGTGGCATAGTGCTACAAACGGGCAGTTATAAATTATCCCACGCTTGTGTCAATTAGTTAAAAATGCCCCCCCCCCCCCCATGCTTGTTGCCTACACGCTAATAGCCTGCCGATAACATCGCAAATAAAGCTTTGAAGTCAGAAATGGAAGCTTGAAGAATAGTCTCTGAATATATGGGACCACCCGTGTCGTCGTATCTTAACAGATCTCTTTTTTTCGCAATCAGTACTTTTTGCGCAGCGATTATTTTGAATCGGAGAGTCAGCTCTTTCGCGGGCACCTGTCACGAGGTTATTAGCAGCGATAGCCGAGGGACAAAATCGGGCCGCGGTAAACAATGTTAATTATAGTCACGAAATTGCGGATAGCGTCACGGAGGGTAGTTATTTGGACAGAATTAAGCGTGGCCTTGAGCATAGCTTTGAGGATGAAGCGGCTTAATACGGCAAACAGAAGCAGAAAGTCAATTAAGTGTGGTAAAAGACGAGAACAGGTGCCAGTATGCTATTTCGTTCTCTGGCGTAGAGCTTCCTACAATATTTACTAGAGGGAACTCTGGCGCTGGCTCATTCAGCCATCATGGGAATGATTGTAGTATGAGAATTGAATGATTATAACAGACAATAATACCAGCGAAAGTATAGGGGAAGTTATTAGACCGGATTGTAATGTAAAACTTGCCAACAAAGTGGCTGAGGGAATAGCCGCCGTGGTAGCTCAGTGGCAGAGCATCGAACACGTTATTCGAAGGTCGCAGGTTTGGTTCCTGCCCACGGCAAGTTATCTTTTCACCCACTTTTCTTTCTTATCATTTACATTACAATTCATTCTAATAACTTCCCCTTTACTTTCCTGTGCATTATTGTCTGTTGCATCTCAATATTATTATGTCAAACACGGAAAAAACGATCCCTTAAGTTTACACTTCTATCCCCACTACACACACACACACACACACACACACACACACACACACACACACACACACACACACACACACACACACACACACACACACACACACACACACGTGTGTGTGTGTGTGTGTTCGTGTTTACAGTTTCACACGCACTCGTGGCTTTTGCTTTGGCTTTTGTTTCGAATAAAAAGAATGACTATCTGTGAAACCTTATCAATTGATTTGCATTGGTGAACCTATAAAAGTAGTGAACTGGGAGTGCTGAACTTTTCCTAAACTTTTGTCTGGCGACAAAGCAGCTGCAGGCCACACGAACCCAAACGGAGCTGAAAGAACGAAGCTTAGGCAAATCCGTGATTGATTGATGTGTGGGGTTTAACGTCCCAAAACCACCGTATGATTATGAGAGACGTCGTAGTGGAGGGCTCCGGAAATTTCGACCACCTGAGTTTCTGTAACGTTCACCCAAATCTGAGTACACGGGCCTAAAGCATTTCCGCCTCCATCGAAAATGCAGCCGCCGCAGCCGGGATTTCGTCCCGCGTCCTGCGGTTCAGCAACCGAGTACCTTAGCCACTAGACCCCCGTGGCGGGCAAATCCGTGTACATACCCGTCATTCCCATACTGCCTGAAGCGCCGCGCGTTGCAGCTCCCATAAACACTAGCGTCAGGTTTCCCTCTAGTGTACAATTACGAAGCTATGTTGTCTGTAGATCCTTGCGTCACGTGAATGCTGCCAGTACAAGGTACACCTCCTTCTTCTGCATGCTATTTCAAGCGCAGCGCA